CAGAATGTAAGGTAGAAGAGCAGATATAGCTACAAACCATAAGGCTGGCTTAGCAAACAGGATCTCAGACATACTGGTGGTGTCATTTACAAAATAAAAAAGAACAAGTACTAGGACCCCACTGTCAAATATACCCCCCCAATCAACTCAAGTCTTCCAGAATTACTGAACAGTTGAAATTTAGAAATAAAGCAAGAGGAAGAGCATAAAGGGTTTTGCAGTTTTGTTGAGGAAGGCAGTGCCCTGAACGTGAGGAACATTGGGACTGCGGACATATACAAGGAAGAACTTAACCCTATGTAAGAGTGCAGGCTTTAGCCCTGATAGTAGTTCCTTTATTCTTTTTTTTTTCTTCTCCTAAAAATCATAAAGGGCCTGGAGACAATTTGTACCAAAATAAAGAAAAAATAATTCTCATAATTTAGAGAATAACTAGGGCACAATAAAACCATTACTTCATTACTGTTCATTACTAAGCACGATAAAAGAATGCAGCCACAGATAGTACTATTATTTTTTTTCCTCCTCCCCTGCAAATACTAGCCTGTTTCTGATCGGTAGGGATTTAAAGAGAGGTAAATTCCTCAGTTCTCAGGAAATAATTGCAACTTATGCGAAAGCATTTCTTTATATGTCTACATGGAACACACAGAAGATAACAGTTAAACTGAAATGCAATTTAACGCGAAGAGATCTAAACTTAGCTCAGAGAGAAGAGTGGAAGGAAAAACTTCATAAACTCCAGCAAATGCTTAATCTGTTGCAAAAATCTCCAGATATCTGGCATTATAACTGGTGAAAACAAAGAACTAGAACTATATCAGGGCAAAACCGAAAGGTTAGTTAAAATCTTGTTATCAAGAATTGTTGCCGATCTTAATACAAAAGTCACACATACACCAGAAGAGAAGGTACAGGGCTGCGTCCAAGCGGGTTTTAAAGAACTTCAAAGAAGGAGACTCCACAACCTCCCAAGGTGGGAGGAGAAAAGCCTCCCAGTCTATGGCCTGCTTGTCGATAGATTTAAGTTTCAGATACCTCGCAGTGCTGAACTCCCTTAAAACGGAGGATCCAATTCTGCTACCAAAAGTGCAGGACAGAGGGCCCCTTCTGTGGTTCACTACCTCACAGCAACGGAAAGGACAGTAACGCTAAAGTATCAACCCAAGAAACACCACAGCCAAAAAGCAAATTCTGCAATTTCCTGGGCCAGGCAGTTCAATGCCAAGCCAGCAGATCCTCACCAGGTTACAATTGCTCACGTTGAACACTGCCATTTGATTAAGAGCACTCATGCTCCTCCCCTCGAGCATAAATAAAAACATTTTGAGAACAGAAGCAGGCAGCCTACAATTTGTTCATTCAGATTTGTTTGCTTTTCAGTTTTTCAGTTAGCTGGATATCAGAGGTGAGCTACCTATGACATGGAAGTTTTCAGCATCAGACTTTTTATGGCAGCTTATCTTGTGTTGCAGCCTCAAGTCTTCATAGTCCACTGTAAAGGTTCAGGTTTTAACTGCAAAAGCTTCGGGTCTGAGTCAGTAGCATGGTTAAATAGGTTCCTCCTGGCATTCAACTTGCAAGGTTTGGAAGAAAACATTTTCTGTCGGTCTCACTAGAGCTGACTCACAAAGAGAGGGTACCAGTCATGGAGGTGACTGCCTCCAGCTGCCGGTCCCACAGAAACAGCTGTCTTGTCTGGAAGCCAGCTGTGAGGCTGCACATGCTGCAGAAGAGCTTTCCAACAAAAACCACCACCAATTGCAGCTTTTCTTACAAAACAGTGCTGTAAACCTTCGCTGAGGAACAGCTAGTGTTTGTGCAATGGAAGGGAACCCTGGACAGCTAGAGCAGTCCTTCTATGGGCTGTCCCAGCCTTTATTTCCTTGAGTGTAAATCAAGGCTGCAGATGTGCTTTGTTAAACTGAATCTCACTGTGCTATTTTTCCCTTTTTATTTTTCTGTCCTCACTGCTGTTAGGAGTCTCTCTCTATTTAGCATCTCCATGAAGATCACACGGATATAGTAAGGCATTTCCCTCAGTTTTCTCCAGACCAGATGCCCGACTAACACCGAGCTCTGTCATTACCTTTTTGGTGCAAACACTCCTGATATTTCTCCCGCGGAAAAATACAGTTGGAAAAAGTAAAAGACAGGTTCATAATATCATTCTCCCAGGGTACTCAAGTAGGCAACACTATTAAGAAATACTCCCGAAGCATCTTAGTGCTTATCAGGAAAAAAATATATCATTAATTTAATATGCCTCGGAATCTCTTTTAACATCAACAGAATGATGAGGAGAAAAGGCTCCCCTATCAAATAAGACACTTTCTTTTTATGCCTCAAGCATCTGGTAGGCAGAGACTGCCGGAGAAGACAGTGAGGACTCGTACCCTGAGTAGTGATACGGTCTAAGTATATTTGATCAGATTGCTGCCTGTGGTAACAGGCTATGTCCAGAATAGAAACAAACAAACAAGGAAAAGAACAATCAAACCAACAGAAAGGTGCAGTGCACCACTGGAATGGTAGATATCATGTCCTCTCAGCAAGCCTCACACAGTAGTGAGTACTGTAATCTAAAGAGCTGTGAGCAGCAAGGCTATCCTGAGGAGAATAGGAAGTACTATGTAGAGATGGAAATGATTTTAATAAAAGATGCAGCTTTAAACTTGCTTAAGCAGAAGGGTGCAAAATCTTCCTATTAACTTGGTTCTCAAATTCAGCTTGTTCAAAAAGTAAAAGCTGCAGGACTTTATCTAACTTTACATTACAGGCTGTCCCCCAACAGGTAAAAGCCGTATAAATTCCACGGGTGAGAGATCTTACGACCTGAGATATCATGCCCCAAAGAACATATGCACCACGCAAGCCATCTCCGCGTGTGAGACAACGACAAGGCTGGGCTGGGCCCAAGCCCAAGGCTGGGCTTATGTCAAAAGGAAAGGCCTTACACCATTCTCAGGACCACCTTACCCCGTGGTTCAGCGAGTTACCTGCAAATCAGTCAGGGGCAGCCAAACAGCCTTCCCTTGGAGGCCTAACCGACCCAGAGCTCGTCCTATTCCACCAAGCGGCTCCTAAGCAGCGGGGATGAAACCACGGGCTATATTTACTCACCCTGCTCGGTCATATCTTTCTATAGATTCGCAGGCTGGGCCGCTCTTCCTTGGCACGGAGGCTAAGGCCTCGCTCGCAAGCGGCGGGCGGCATAAATCAGCGCGCGGCGCTCTGTCTGAGCCCGCTGAGCTGGCTCCCCGCGCTGGCAACAGGTGCGGCGGTGGCGAGCAGGGACACTGCCCCCGGCTGGAGCCGCCCGTGGGCTCTGGAGAACGTCTATTAAACTTATTCTGCAGCACCGTAGATTATTTACCCTCTGTACCTCACATTAAGTTAACTGGAGACTTTCCACCAACAGTCGGTGCGTGCAGGAGCAGAGCCCAGTTAATTCTCTTTTGTTTCTGCAGTTCCTTCTACTTTGTCTTTGCTTTTGCCCCCACAATTCTCTTATTTCCTTTCCAGTCCGTTTCAGTCCCTGCTCTGACACCTTTGCCCTAAAGCTGAAGTATTGCAGAGACAAAGGCTACACAAAATGATTAGGAGATGAAAGCAGGCTTAAAATATATCTGTTTCATTGGCAATTTTAAGAATCAGATGTCACAGAAACTAGCAGGAACTTACAATGGTGAGGAGCACGTTACTGATCTAAACCCTGACAAGCTATATGGTTCATTTTCAGGGAAGCTTTTACTTTTCCAACATCTTAAGCAAGCATTGAAGATGCTATTGCCTTATGAGTATGCATCTGCTTAAGCCAAACAGTGTAGATAAGACCTTGTAAACTCCACCCAAGCCACCATAGCAATCTCTAGCAATCTGTCCCTAGATGAGGGAACAACGACCTGCAGGGTTGGACAGAAGCCTGAAAATGATGTGCAAAATGCTGCCTATAAAGCTTCAGGGCATGTTGCTGCACTGGTGGGGCCTGCAGAGACACACAGATTCAGTAAATTGTAAAGCAAGAAAAAACTCTTGGATTTCCAGGGCAGTAGAGGGTTGTTTTCCACAAGATTATTCCAAGTGCAACGAGAAACTGTTTTAACATCGGACTTTTACCCAAAGATTGTAAACTCTCAACTTCTGCTTTGCTTTAGAGTCACACAAATACCAGTCGACTCCTTCCAAACCAAACAATCCAGCCCAGACCTGTTTTTCATGGACTACAGCAAAGGTGAAATTTTAACAACTGTGGAACGGATCAAAAATCACCTCTAGCACCTAGAAACTGGCTCTGCTGCAGCTGCAGGCCAGTGTATCTCTGCTTTCAGGGTTAAGCAGCATGCTAGCTGAGAACAGCTCGCAGGTGACAGACATTCATGGCACTGCTGCAAGGAGGCAAGCTGGAGTGAAAGAGAGCAGCCAGAGTTGTCTGGTATCTGCTGAGACTTGTTCCGTTCAGTGCAGGTACCGAAAGAACTGTCTATGCGTGTACAACCCAAACAGGGCTGGTTCAGGAGCTCAGCCCGTGAGCATCACAGGCACAGGCCTTCACCAGTGAGCATAACAGGAAGGTTAGAGAAGGCAGTGGGAGATACAGGAGATACTTTAAAAGATGTACTTATTCACATCCACTGGGCTGTTACACTGTGCTTATCCAAACCTTAGCTCAGCCACATGCCCAGCTCTGGCACCTGCCTTCTTGGTCCCCTCCTGAAACAGATACCCTTTAACTTCCAGTGCTTTTGTTCGGGCAGTATCTGTTTCTGTTTGGGGGCAAGGAAGGGAGGCACGGCGGGGCAGAGAAGTTTAAAACCTTACTCTAGCTAAGATCTTCACTGACATTCCTAAACTTAAAGCCATTCAACTTAAAGCCACTGCTTCCATTTGGGATAGCCTGGGAGGAAGGAAGTTGTTTGGAACGTGGCTTTGGTAGGAGGCCAGTGGCTTGCACGGGGCAGGTTGCTCGAGGCCCGCACGGGGCCTGCCCCTCTTCTTACCGTACATCTTGCCTTCGTCGGACAAGATAATCTTGCGCCGCCCACATGGCGGGTAGATGGCTAGCGCTTCCTGGAAGCTCTGCTCAATGTCCGGACTCCACACGCCTTCGGCGTCATTGTCAATGGGTTTGTCCAAAGCCTCGCTGCCCCCCGAGCCGTTGCTCCCCTCAGGGGAGGTGGGAGAACTCCACTCGTTGGAGGTAATGGTGCCAGCTAGAAACTCCAAGGCGCCACGTGGAGAAGCGGCCTCCGAACCTGCAACGACAAACACGTCCCAGCGGGCGGTGAGAAATCCTCTACTCTAGCAAAACAGGGGAGATGCTAAAGAAATATATATATATTTTTATATATATATATTTAGCAAATAAGGTGCAGTCCATGCATGCATCAATTGGCCTTCCCAAGAGAGGAGCACTTCAGCTAACAGCCCAGTTCCACCAAAGGCAGCATTCAGGCTGAACAGGCTCAACCCCTCTGCTCTGCCTTAAAGTTCAAACCTACAAGTGAATAACTGGAATAGAGGGGGTCAGCCAGCTTGGCATAGCAACTGGATATACGTGCTCCTAACTCATAACGCAGGTGAGTTTTTAAGTTCTTTTATCGAGGCTTCAGCAAAGAGTTTACCTCAATTTTATCTTAAATGGTAACTCAACCATGTGCTCCACTGCATTATTGTTGAGATAAAAGCCTTTCCTTCTCCAGATCCTCCTGCTAAAGAGGCTGCTTCTGTACCTTTTAGGCTCACTACTTTCGAATTCCCTTCAAAACCCTTTTTCCCTTCCTTTCCTTTCCCCTCTGCTGGCACTGCGCTACTCTAATGTCATTTAACTTTCTGAAACCCCCCCGCAAGCATGCAAGGGTTCAGTCTGGGTGAATGGCACCATACAAAATAAAGCTGTAATGAATTACCTAGTCATCACTGAGCACAGGGATTCACATTTTGTTAGATACTGTTTCACTGGACTAGAGTGGTCAGTGTCATTTTTAACACTGACATTTCTGCTTAATCAACAGCCAGAATTTTAAAGAACAGTTCCTGGAGCCTGGCAGTTCAATGGGAATATCTCCCAAACCTGCACATTACAGGCTGGCAGGGGCAGAAGTCTCCATGACATAAAGGATAACGGCCCTGGGTTGCACATGAGGAATCCTGGGTGCTCAGCTTCTTTCTACCACTCATCTTCAGATCGACCTTGCAGTTGTCTTGGGCTCTTTGCCCCTTTATCCTGTGCAGATCTTGGGCTATTAGATTGCCAGCAGCAGGAGTAAAAACTGGTGTCTCCTTGAACCTAAATATGTAGCAACTAGCTCTTGAAAACCGCTACTTAAAATAAATAAATAAATAAAAGCCTGCAATAAGACAGAAGCCATTAACTGCAGCTGCCAGAACTGTGGTTCAGAAAGTGCTTCTGGCCCATACGGATGCTTCCAGCCAATCACACAGACAAATGTCTTCCAACAGACCTCAACCACTGCCCTCCCTCAAAACCTTTTTATTAGTTTTATCATCTGAGCCACAAAGAAGGCTCACAAGCCAACACCCAACCTGATGGAACAAAGTAAGAGAGCTCCAAACTCCCCTGCATTGCTGAGTAATGGTGCGATGTCAACATGACTTGTTTTCTTGTGCAAAAGGAAGGGAATCATCAAGAGCATCATGCCGAGGCAGACTGGCGCAGAAATACCCCAGTGATGATGATGATAAGCAAGACACAGAGGGGAAAGACTGGACATGATCTACGTGGAAAACTTGCCAAGATAAGATTAGTGTAGTTCTGCCAAGCCCCATGTGGTAAACAAGACAAAGCAGACCCATTCAGTCAACCTCAAATTTTCAAAACTTCCAGCCTTATACCACCCAAAACTTGTCAAGAGATGAAAGAATAAAAACGTTGTAAAACGTTGACAACAGAGACTGCCCGATGGTTCTACTGCTGTGTAACAACTTTAGATAACAGCAAATACCTATTTCCCATCTCCATCAACTCAGGAAACAAGTAGGACAACACGGGATGTTTGTGTGATAAATAGCTGTCCACAGTATACTCCTCACGTCAGGATGTAGAATATTTACAAGTGGTTGAGATAGAAATTCAGAACATCTAGTGTACAACTTATTTCCCCTCCTAGGATGCTTGGAATACAAGAGCCACTGGCGTGGCCGACCACCATCCCTCAGTCCATTTCAATCCCTACACTGCATTATTTTGATTCTCTTGACTCCTGCTATACACTTTCACCACTGCAGTAAGTGGGGGAAGAAATAAAAAATGGGGATGGCCTGCGGATGAGGGAGGGAAGAGGAACTCAGACTGGATCCTTAGCACTGGGACAGATACCTGAAGCCCACCGTGAATGGCACTGAAGCAGACAGTGTGGCTTTCAGAGGCCACTAAATAAATGGTGACAGTTGCTTCCCTCAGCAAGCCTCTATCAGCACTTTTCAGCCTTTTGCTGGCAGATGCTCAACGCAAAATAAAGAACATGTGGGTATTTGAGATTCCCCTGCTGGGAGAGAAAGGAAAAAAAGGGTCAAGTTTCCCAGTGGAGACCCAGGCACAGGAAGAAAAACAGAAGATACCTGTTTCACCTGCTTCCCCAGGCATCCCTTGTCCCTGCTGGCTATCCACAGTGTCCGTATTTATTGCACATTAAAATCTTCACAGTCACAAGGCAGAGACTACCTTTAATTTAGGTCGACTGACCGAGAAGTGGCTGCATGCATAAAGAAACCTGAGGTTTCACAAAGGAAAGGTCCTCTAACCAGCTTCTCCACCAAGTCAAAACCTGCTCTCACCGCTTGGCTTTGGGACTTCCAAAGCCATGGCCATTGGGAAGCTGCAGCAGCTGCTCTCAGGAGCTCAGCCCCCAGCAGGCAAAATCACATCCTAGGCAATGCACGGCCATCAAACGAACCAACAAGAACCAGTTTTGAAACAAATTACTTTAATCTCAATGTCTCTGCAGGCAATTTGAGCAAGATGTGCTGCAATCTGAACGAACGCATCCAATGCTCAACTTTTCTTTTTGCCTCTGCATCCACACTCGGCAAGTTGCTCCCTGATCATCTCAGGCTCATGAGGCTTCAGTTCCGTGCCAGCCATCCTCAGTGACGGGAAGCTCTAGATCCCTCCTGGTCCAAGCTCCAAAATAAGCAGAGAAGGAAGCATGTGCTGCCTGCAGGACACCCTGTTGACTCCCGACTCTTTTCTCCAAACGGAAAAGCAAAGCTTTATTGGCTTCAGCTGTTGTTTCAATACTCAAGTTGTTTCAATACTCAGGAGAATTCACAGAGCAAGAGAGAAACATCTGACCCTTCTCTCACACTGCTCCAAATCAAGGGAGAAGTGACTAGATACCTTTTGATACTTATTTTTTTTAATGCTGCTTCTCACTTTCACTTCTAGACCATCAGTATTAGATGTAACCCAAGCTACACCTAGGTCAGTAGGTAACGACATGTGCTGCCATGGCCAATCCTGTTTTTTTCTGTAGCTTGGAACCTGATTCTACTCCGCCTTCTTGCAACTACAGCTCTTCCTGACTGATGATGAGGGAAACAGAATTATAAATTCTGGGGGAATGATAAGTTTAGGCAGAATATTTGATCATTTCTGTCTAAAATATCAAAAACCAGCAGTATACTAATACTGATCTGCCTTATTCTGCCAGCTTAAGAAGAAAGGCCACAGACAGAGAGGACCACGAAAACCTCTCACTCAGCAAGGTGCAGGGGTCTTACGGGGCTGTTTCATGTTAAAACCTTAAAGGATCTGTGCGGTTTTCTTAAATAATCTTGCTCAAATACTATGCTCCATGTGCAATACCACCCAGATCAGAAATAAGAAATATTAGTATGGCCAATTTTGCACAGATGGTACCTGGGTCTGTATTCTCTTTCCTTGAACACTTCAGGCCTGTAGTGACCACGACGGTTGAACACAACTTTGAACCAAAGTCGTCATTTATTAAACCAAGCAAAGCATCCTATAGAGAAGCTGGCGGGCAATCTGTATGATAAAGGGGTTTAGTAGCAGGGCAAGACAGAAACAAAAACAAACAAACAATCAAACCACAACAAAAAAAAAAAGTGAGTGGAATCACTTTTCCTCAGAAAAGGAGTCTGGTCAGAATTAGAACATTTATATTGAATATACTGTTAATAGGAAAGATTTAAATAAGGAATGCTTAGCTACTTGATTAATGAATGTTTAGCTACTTTTCTTTTTCATGTCTAGCTTTCAATTTGTTTCTATTGTTCCATTCAATAAGTATAAAAATACAATGCCTTTACTGGTGTCTTACTGAGCTCTATTTTCATAGATATTTTAGTATTTGTAAACTATTTGTAATTCCTTCTTGTGCAAGGTCTAGATCTGCAGAGTCTTCAGGTGTGGGAAGAATGTGATTCCGAAAGGGAGCATCTCACCAAACCGACTTTCCCCTTCCTGGGCAGACTTACCTAAATACAAATGCTCAGGTTAGCCCCATTTCTTTCAAGCAACAACCTGTGACATTGCTGACGCTCTCTCATAAAGGCAAACTTTGCTAGTTTCCAGGCGAGTCCTTCTTTAGATTCCCTCATTTTTAACCCTCCACACTTTTTCTTGACTCTTTCATTTCTGGATTTGTACCTTACAGTAGTTCTTTTTCTGATCCTGTTCTTTATTACTTTGTTCAGAGATGATCAATCATCTTTCTTTGTAGACTCCGGTCACATTTTGTCTACAAGAATCAAGGAAACTAGCCCCTCACAACACCTCCAGCTCCTCATCGCAACATCTCCAATTTCTTGGGGCATTTCCCTCGTTTCCCCATACTTCTTTATGCCACGGCTCATCTCTAATTCAAAGCACTCACACAGGCAGCCTTTGGGGTTACGGGATAGGAGAACCATGAACAACAGCTCAGTCTCTCAGCTCCAGCAGCTTGGGTTTAATTGTTCTCGTACTGATCATTTCCAGCTCTCGCACACGGCCTCTCGCTGAGGCTCAGGGGGCTCGCGGGGCTCAGCAGCTGCCAGGAGCCCTTCAGCAGAGGACTCACGGGCAGGGAGTGCATCTCTAGGAGGCCCTGCGGCCCGACACATCTGCTTTCCAACGTCAGTCCCACACTTGCTGCTCTGGGTAAGAGCTGCCTCCCAAGCCTTCATGGCAGCTGCTCCACACAGCTCCATCCTTTCCCCAGGATCTGCAGCCAGCTGTCTCCAGTTATTCCCTTCTCTTAGGGCTGCTCTGTCCCAAAGAACTTGCCCC